AATATATTTTTTTTGGGTAAATATCATTGTAGTAATGTTTTCACTGGCATGCATGATTAATTTTTATACAAACTTTGTAATATAATGTAAAACAAGTAATCAAATGTTACTACACACTTGTGATCATATTCATAACCCAAAAACACAAGGGCACTTTACAAATAAGCCCATCATGGGATACTTATTCATAAAGGGGTCCTGATAAAAAACTCTCTTATAAAACAGTCCACACATAGTCCAGAGGTTTGTAAAAGACTAAAATAGCCCTTCACATTTTAATACGCTTCAATGTCATTCTTTAATTTAATTTAACCTCAATTTGACCCCAAATTTCACAAATTATTCAATTTTGACCCAAAACACAATTTTGAGTATAATTTCGTCAGTTGCAGCCGGACTCTGGCGTTGGCTTTTTTTTTTTTCCCTGATTTTTCCGTCGGTCTCCGGCGTTGACTTTTCTGGAAAAAAAAATTCCTCCTGATTTTTTCGCCAGTCTCCGGCATTGACTTTTTCAAAAAAAAATCTTTAACATTTTTTTGCCCCCGTTTAAACAACAATATTGTTGTGGTTGACAGTAATATTAACTATATTACTATTAAACATAGTAATATTAACTATACTTCAGTTTTACACATCAATATTGTTATATTAATCTCTAGCCCAGTAATATTAACACAACAAAAGTCATTATTATTGTGTAATAGAGTAATATTAATATGTTGACCATTCAAAAAAAGTAAATATAATAAAAAGCCAAAAGAATTAATATTGATGTGGTTGACAGTAATATTACTGTCAACAAATCAAACTAAAAAAAAGCCAAAAAAAATTAATATTGTCGCTGACAATACAATTACGTTAATGTACTGTCAACGGAAGTATAATTACGATAATGTACTATCAGTAACAATATAATTATTGTTAATGAATTATGGTCAATATTTAGCGGCGGGCGTAAAAAAATGGATAATTTTTTTTGGAAAAAAAATAAAAAAAAGTCAACGCCGGAGACGGCGGTCAACGCCGGAAACCGGCGGCGGAAAAAACAGACCAAAAAAAGAAAGAATTTTTTTCTTTAAAAGTCAACGCCGGAAAAAACAGACCAGAAAAAGAAAGAATTTTTTTCTTTAAAAACAGACCAGAAAATATAATTTCAGAAAAAAAAAAGTTTTGAAAAACAAAAAGTCAAAATTGGATCTTTTTTTTTTCTGTGGTCAAAATTGATGAAATTGGGGTTGCAATTAAGAATTGGGCGTAAGGGTAGGGGGTAATTTTGTCGTATATATTAATTTTTCCTTTATTTATAATACGTATTAAAAGGGATAGGTTTATTGGCGAAAAATATATAGCCCATGAACCTAGAATAATAAAGATGATTGGTCGGGTACTTATGCACAAAGACCCTAAAAGACAAATATGAAATGTAAATCAAGAAAATGAGTAAATTTACAGTATTTGCAGAGAGTTAAATGTTAACCCTAAATCCTAAATATGTCACTCAAAATTATTGAAATTTTGAGAAGATTTTACAACTTAATTTCATTTTCTCTCTACACTATTCTCAAAATATAGCATTTGACACTTTGCACCCCCAGGGAAAAATATTATCACTTGCACTCTCAAAAGGTAAATCATTCACATTGCATCTCAATTGATATTTTAGCAAAATTCTCGAAGTGAAGTATTTGTTTGGTAGATCTTTGGCAAAAAAGAGCATAATTTGCGGAAATTTTCTAGTAAAATATTGAGAAAATGGTTGAATTGTGGGGAGAACCAAACAATTTAACTTGACACTAAAGATGAAAATACCATCCGTGAATACATCCATACAAAAATATTTATTTTCTTGGTGCAAAATTATTAAATTTTTAACTTTTCTACCCTTCAACTATTTTTTTCACCAAATTACATAAATAATATCGTTTCATACAAAAAAATCATCAATTTTTTTTACCAATTCTAATAAGGGAGGTACACATCCAATAATTTTGATTTTTTTTTATAGAATTCTATTATTTGAATTATATTTATCACTTCATTTATAAATGCTACTAATAAATGAAATTATCTTCACTAACCTTTAAAATTTATGTTGGGGTGAACGTGATATTAATTTGTTTTTGGCGATGCATTCTCGAGGATGCAAACTGGAATTAAACCTTCCGAAATTAATAAAACAATCATCAACGATTGAAGAAATAATATAACGGAAACTTATTAAATTTATCTATTAAAATTGTAAGTACTGAAATTTCGATGGCTCCAAATTTGCAATCCAGCCTCAAGTATATTATATTTGTTGTTGTCAATAAATACTTATGTGATCTAGAAAATTTGAAGCCAAAACCAGTCACCCAAGAAAAGAATATATAACAAATACAAGTCAACATAAAAAGGTAAAATTGACGAATAGTTACTAAATATGTTTTAAATGTATTATTTATAATAATTATAAAAAAAATTCTGGTCACCGTGCATATCGGCATTGCTGGCCATTATTGAAACCCCAAAATGCGAAGAGCTACCTCTTAAAAAATCGACGTAAGATGTTATGTGGTCACCGATGGTTCTTGTCCGATTCTCCTCATTTTGTATGGCTGTGGCCAGGTGGTGGTGTCGTGGTGAATTATGGTGTAACCTTATTTTTTTATGTCTAGAAAATTTGTCCAATATAAAATAGATTAGAAAAACATATATTATTTTGTCTTTTATGCTGGAAAAGTTGCACAAAAATTGTTTGGGGTATTAGGAACGTAAATTAAAAACTTGAGACTACACAAATTCCTAACTGCCAAAATCCACTCACCTTCATTGAGAACAATGATTTGAATTCGAGTTGCCTGCAAATGGAAGAATTTATGCCACGAAGAAAATAATAATAATAAATAGATCTAGAAGATCCAACCATGTTTTGGCAACTTTTGTGAGTGCCAAAAGTAATTTTGTGAATTTCTGGTGAAGAAAACATGATTAAAAAGAGGTGTAAATCTAAGACTCAAGCCAAAAATAAGAAAAATCAAGAAAATCAAGAAGGTGTAAAGACTAAATGTGAAATGGTTTGTATACTTTGCATTTTGTATTAACAAATGCTAAATACGTATTTGTATGATTTATTTAAGGTAGTTATTCAATGAATTGTAATTGATCAATTTAATTAATATTTGACTATAATAACTTATATAAGGTATTAACAATTTATAAATTAGTAAAAAAATGATAATCAATTTACCTATTTGACCTTTTATTCTTATCTATTAATGGGGTATTTTTGGATGTACAAAAATTGGAAGAAACATCCTACCTATTCATACTTTTATAAGTAGTATAGAATAGATATAGATATAGATTGGGTGGATTCAAACGGCGTATCTGCACATAATTACACACATGTATATGTGTGCTTAGTGGATATTTATTCAATTAAATTTACTATTTAAATTCACCCAATATAAATAACCACGTGTAGCATCTAACTCCCTCCAGGGGTAGTCGTAATTTGCCTTCTTCCGCTTGTAAAGGAAATATAAAAATAAAAGAAATAAATAAAGGGCAAAGATGGACAAAACAAAAGTTGATGAACTAAAAAACAAGAAAACAAAGGGATAGGCCTAGCAATTGATGAGAGTGAATATTCACCACTCATAATTTTATTAGGGGTCACTATTTCTCATACTGCATGTTTTTTTGACCTAATACTTCCAAGAACACTTATTCCCATTTTGCCCCTCTTTACCGTTTCTTGTTATCTAAAACTCTTGATAGGGTTCATTAGAACAACTTTGAGTTTTCCTTCTGATCGAATATCAACATATACGGATTTATGTTATGTTTCTAAGTGTTTAGGATTTAATCCTTTGAAAACTAATATCCCAACTTTCAAGTTCAAACTTGGTGAGAACTGAATCTTCATTGATTTACGCTCTTTTACCGTTTCGATAAATCGTGAAAGGAAAGAATATATCTCTTCCTGGTTTAATTTAGTCAATAATGATTTCTGTCGTTTTCTTTAACATAGTGTGTGTACAACCAGCAACATACTTTGAACCTACATACGTAACATAAATCGGATATATAATGGAGGTCCGATAGACGATTGCTTGTCGAATTATTGAAGTTCGATTGACAATTTGCTATGCTGGATTTACAATTCATTTTTCTTATTTGGTAAATTTTTGAGCTTGTCAAGCATTTGTGTGAGGTTGTCAACGATTTCTATTTGGTTTTCTTTAGTGTGCGAGAGAAATTTGGAGTTTCTTCAAATGTTCATGTTTATTTGGAATTTAATTGATTCAATCGAGACCCAACTGCTGGATTAATTCTACAAATCTTGAAAAGTTTGCAAATGATGAACGATCACGAATTCGTGATCTATTTGCGGTAACTGAGTGTTCAAATTGATTTTGATTGTACAAATTGATTTTGATTGTACAGCAACGAATAAACAGATACATAAAAGACTGACACAATCCAGTATTTCAATTAGCTTATCTTAACGAAACAGAGGAAACCCGTCCGAAATATAATAAACGATGCTAGGTGAATTACTTTACGCTTCAATCAAACATAATTGATACTTTCGAAAAATGAATTAACGAAAAATAATTTTTTTAGTGCTACTTTCAAAACTTTTCTTTGATGAATTTAATATTGTAAAATTGCAATACTACCACACATGGCATTGTTCTGTACTGTCACTAATACAGATGACAATTAGATTTTATATCTCTGTATGAATGCTTAACTGACTACTTATTAGATCAAAAAAATAAGGGTAAATTACGAGAAACCCTCTGAACTAATTAAGGTCAATTTACGAAAGAAAAGAAAAACCCTCACGTATCCATAATGATCAAAACTCCCCTGAAGTTTGTAGCCGTCTTACACAGTCCCCTTACGGTGTGAATTTTGACGGAGTCTCTTTGGTTCAATGGAATATTTCACAACAAATATCGATTTCGTCAAACAAATCATAAATACGTGATGTTTCATCATTTACGAGCTTTTCAAGGAAAAGAGTACCCCTATAACGAAGCATAAAATCCAGTTCAAATGTTAAAAAACCAACTATTACACAAAGCCTCAAAAAGGAAATTACATGAAAGAAAACCAAAGTAGAAATTGTTTACAAGCTCACACAAATGCTTCCAATAAATTAACCGGAGGCTAAATTTCACGCCAAATCGAATGACAGGAAGAAGGTATCTTCAACATTAAAACAATGAATTGTAAATTCCAACATACCAAATTGTTAATCTAAGTTCAATAACGCGACAAGCGATCCGCTCCCAGGCCTCCATTCTTCGATTTATGCTCCATGTAGGTTCATTGTATATTGCTGTAAGGACTCAAAATCAAATGTGCATGGACTAGATGTAGACAGAGAAGATCGCAAATTAGTTTAAAAGAATTTAATCCTAAAAATAAAATTATCACACACACACACACACACACACACACACATATATATATATATATATATATATATATATATATATATATATATATATATATATATATATATAGCAGAAGGATCATGTTATGAAGATTGAGTTCTCACCAAGATTCAACTTGAAAGTTGGGACTATTCTTACTCTACGAGTCGAAAGTCTACATTGCCAAAATCCTATTGTTCCTTCAATATTTGTTCAGCAGAAATGACAGCTTCGTCGCTACACGAAAGCAACTGAATCGATTGAAGCGTTGATATTTCTCCAATACATGAAGGGATCTCCTTCAACTTATCCAAGTCCTCAAGATGAAGATGCTCAAGGCGTGGAAAGTGGTTGCTGTCTGTTGTCCACCACTCCAGGTCACTGCAACTGCTGATTAGCAAGTATCTAAGGTTGCAGAATTGCCCTTCAGCTGTTTCCCACTCGGTCCCCACAAAGGACTTGTACCTCAGTTTGAGGACTTCAAGATTAGGTAACCAACCTATCTTTGTCTTCATGTCTTCCCATTTGAGCTTGGTCCCCATCAAAGTCAACTTCTTGAGGGAATTGGGGAGGATGAAATTCTGCACCCAATCATTCGGGGGTTGCTTAAAAAGGGTACCAATGGTGAAACGCAAGGACTCGAGTTTATGTAAATGGCCAAGATTGTCGAGACAGTAACTCAATAATCCCTGAGGTTCATTTGAGTAAGATATTTGTAATTTATTGATATTGGGGATTCTCTTGACCACCTCTTCTCCACATTTGAATTTTCTTATTCTCGAGAGCGTCTGTAGGTTCCCCAAAACAAATTCGTCATCTTTCGCACCGATAGGAGGATCAGGCAGCTCAAAATGAAGGAAATGAACATGCTTAAGTTGAGTCATGTTCCAAATTTCACATGGTGCAACACCGCCAAAGGTACGATTTACAATTAAAGTCTGTAGATTCCAAAGGAGATTGACTGAAGAAGGAAATCCGGAATTTTTAAGCCCATCAGATTGGATAGCAATGAATCTCAGGTTAATCAGCCGAAAGACAACTTCTAAGGAATACTTGTTTCGTGTGCCGATCTTGTGAAATAAAGGTTTATCATCATCGGCTTTCAGCACCCTCAACAATCTAAAATCAAGTAATGGTAAACCTTTTCCAAATTTGCCAATCAAAGAACGAACAAGAGGCACATATTGCAACGTACGAAGGATTGGATCCTTCTCCGACATGCTTTGATGAATACCAATGCGGCGTTGCGTATTTATGCCCTGTGGAATGGTAAGTTCATGCGGTCTTGTGACATAAAAGAACTTCTCTCTCTGAGCTTCTCTCAAGCATAGTTCCCTCAAGAGATCATGGATTTTGCAATATTTTATTTTCCCACTAGACCCCCTTTTATGAACTAAAATCAGGTTTCTATCACAGAGCTCCTGCAAGTACTCTCTCGAAACCACTTCCAAGCTTTTGCCCTTAATTGGTTTCACAAATCCTTCAGAAACCCATAGTTTTACGAGACACGAGACACGGATCTTTTTGTCCTCAGGAAAAACTCCCATATAAAGAAAACATGGCTTTAGATGTATCGGCAAATGGTTATAACTCAATTGTAATACTTTTAAGCAACGTTCATCGTCTTCCGAATTTACAATATTTTTTGTGTTTTCTGAAATATATTCCCAATGTTCTCTTGTGCGCTTAGACTTCGCTAGGTGTCCTCCAATCACAACGAGTGACAAAGGAAGTCCTTTGCAATTTGTGGCAATCTTCTTTCCTATTTCCTCCAATTCAGGAGGGCAATCTTCTTCTTCTTCAAATACAGATCTGCACAGTAGATCCCAACTCTTATCCTCATTTAAGAAATCCATCACAACGCCATGAGAGCCAATCGAAGCAACGTCTAATAGCCTAGTGGTTATCATTATTCTGCTTCTTTGACCATTTTCTGGAAAGAAGAGATTCACTTTATCCCATGCCTCAGCACTCCAAATATCATCCAATACAATCAAATATCTCCTGCCCCATAAAGTTTTGTGTACTCTTTCACCTAATTCACCTTCGCTCTTCGCACTCAAGCTTTCCAGGCTCTCAGCTTTGTTTATACAAAGAAGAATTTCTAAAAGAATTTCTCGCACATTGTAGTTTTGAGATATCGTAACCCAAGCTCGAATATCAAAGTGCTTCATAAACTTAACGTAAGCATTTCTAGCAAGAGAAGTCTTACCAATGCCGCCCATTCCAACAATCGGGATTATGCGGAGATTAGATTGTTGTCCAGTGAGCTTATCCATTACTTCAATCAAGAGCTCGTCAAGACCAACCACGGCATCCCGCCTCGTTGTTAAATGAGACCTTGATGAAGCAGCACCAGCAAGAGTTGAAGAATTTTTGTGCAGGTGATCTTCGATTATTCCAATATTATTATCTTTAATCTCCATCACATCTTTCTTGATTAAACCCATGTCTTGGATCACCTTATCGAGATCTAAACCAGCTACGACATTCTGCCTCGTTGAAGGAGATCTTGATGAACCAGCACCACAAAAAGTGGACAAAATTCTGAGCAGATGATCTTGCATTCTAGTACTCTTCGTTTTTTTCGATCCACCAAGAATTTGATCAACAATTCGGGTTTCGATTATATCTTCGGCTGCATGAGCTGCTTCTGCAATTCGACTTTCAAAAACATCAATTGCTTCTTTGCTGATGCCAACACAAGGATATCCCTGCTCAAGAAACTCTTGCAAGAAATTGAGGTTGTCGGTGAGAGATTGGACCTGGTTTTGGTCAAGAGAAATTGGAGGGGAAGGGTGATGCTGAAGCTGTTCGATGATATGCCTGAGAGAAAGTAGAGCTGCGTAAGCCGCCATCTCTCTCTCTCTATCTCTCCCGAAAATCGAATTGGTTTTCAGAACAATTCTTGAGGTTGAGAATCAAGAAGAATCAAAAATCCTCTGTAGTACTATAGTATGAGTGTATCTTAGGATAATAAAAAAAATGCGAGAGAAAGAAAATGAATGGTGTACAGAAATGGAGGCAGCAATGGTTGACTAGTCATGCGTGATGAAAGTTGAAAGGAGAAAATGGTGGGTTAATGTCATGTTTAACTCAAAGTACAATTTTGCCCTTCAATTGGCACGTGATAATCACATGGGTGAAAGTACCATTAGGTGAATCACACATTCATGGGTGTTTGTGTGATTGTGTGCAGATCAAAAGTTAATAATCATCCGGCATCAAACAAACTGTGAAAGTACAATTAGGTGAAGGATAATTTTCCTTTTTTTTGAGTCCATATTTTTACACTAGATTTTGATTTTCTAATGCCAATATTAATAATCGGGTGTTGCTATTTGCAGCGGGGCTTTTACTGAATACAGCGGAATCTTTTTCATTTAATTTTTTTTTAAATTCACTCTCCTGCTCCAAAACTCTCTCAAGACAATTGAATTTCGAAAAAAAATTCGACTTTCAATCCGCAGCAAACGAGGCTCGATTCCGGTATTTTTTCAATATTTGTGCTCTCTAGAACGGAGAATTCAAGTTTTTTTAACTTCTCGTCCTGCAGAGCACGGAAACTTGAACTTTCTTCAAGTTTTCGTGCTCTGTGGAACGGGAAGCTCAAAAAACTTTTTAATTTTTTTTTTCAGAAAAGAAAAATTTAAAATGTGAATCGCCCGTGCTGCAGAACACGGGAACAACGGGAACTTCATGTTTTAATTTTTTCATTTTATTTTATTTTTTTTTTATATTTTTTTTTAAATATCGAATTTTGTAATTATTTGAGGAACATGATAACACATATTCGGATTATTGTACTCGTTTGTATATTCATCGTCAAATTTTTCGTCAAAATCACCATCTTCACACTACCAAATAATACTAAAGAAATAAAGTAAAGTAAACAAAAAAAAAACTAAAACCTATACTCCCGTCCCCTAGAGGAAGGGTACTTCAAGTTTTTTCTTTTCTTTTATACCCTACGTGTTGCAGAGCACGATCTCCCTTCTTTTTTTCCCTTTATTTTTACCTTGTAAAAGTAATATGGATCAGCCATAAAAAAAATGTTGTGTTTGGTTTCGAATTTGTCGAACGACCTTCAGATTCGAAGTTTTCGACTTTTTTTAGTTGAGAGAGTTTTGATTTTTTAGAAAGTTAGAAAATTGACAAATAAGACTATCGCTGCAAATAAGCCAATTTCAGTAAAAGTCCCGCTACAATTAGCATTTCGATTAATAATATCAAATAACTCTCATTATAGAGAAAACACAACTGTGATAAACAATAGTGTCTTGATTGAGAAAAAGCTATTTGGATTTTGGATACAAAAATTGCAATAAATTAAAATCCACGACTTTGTCATTATTAAATTGACATTGATACTACGATATATATATATATATATATATATATATATATATATATATATATATATATATATATATATATATATATATATATGAAACAACAGTATTGCCAATACAGTTTACTTCAAGTATTGTCTTGATTGAGAATCCTTATCTTTTTACATACTCTTTCTTGTTCTTATATAGCTTCTTCATAAACGGGGACGCCGGATGATTCACCCTGCACGACACACGTGATTCCTTCAAGACCATTTAATTAATCAAACAACCGTTTTCTTCTTCTTAATTTTTTCGTATTCGGATTAATTCGTTGATGTCCAGCTGTCCACCATTGTTTCGGGGAAATTCAATTTCTTCGATTGGTTACGATTGAAATTTCAATCAATTTTTCAGATTTACCGTCTCAACAAAGATGTAAAAAGCTTCTCTTTTCCTGAAAGCAACAAAAAACTATGTTGATTGCCAAAAACTTTAGAAGAAACCTTTCTTAATTCAAAACAAAATATGTACTAGTAGTATAAAGGGTAAAAAGGGAAGACTTACTTTTTTCTTTAATTGTGGATTTATGTTGGGTAATTTAATTGAAAATCAATGCAATAATCTAATTTAGGAAAAAATAAATAAGAGGAAGAGAAATGGTTATTGGTTAAAAACTGAGATCCCAAAGGATTCACGAGTGTCGTCCAGCAATGCAGGGGGGACCATCGGCCGCCCCCGTTTATGAAAAAGCGAATAGGATCAAGAAACGGTATGTTAAAAGACAAGAATCCTCAGTCAAGAGACTTCTTGATGAAAAAAGTTGAGGCAATACTATTGCTTTTAGAGGATCTTATAGATACCAACGATCAAAGTAATGATTGGACAAACATATTTTTAGAATCGCTCAAAGAGAAGAATTCAAACATTTTAAATAAAAACAACACTTGTAATAAAATTTGAAGATTGTAGTATACAAGTATAAGAGGTTCTAATTACCTCATTTACCCTCAAAGGTTCACTCCTAAGAACTTAAAACAAACATTTCTTTGTAAAAGAAAGAAGTTCAAGGAAAACAATGGATACTACAATGGGGAAATGAAGGGTTCTTTTATAGAGGGGAGACAGAGAGCCGTGACGTCGATTTGCGCAAAATGAACGACATGTGGCATCCCCTAAATACGTGGCACGGTGTGATTGGATTATTTTGAAAATGAGTTTATCTCATGACTAAGCATCTTGCTAGCATATCGATGACGCAAAGTGAAAGAATCACAAGTCTACATGTGGCATTCATTGATTGATTTTTTTTCTTATACAAAATTATTTCGTTTTGAATATGAAAACTTTCTATTGCAACTCAAATCTCGTTAATTTGGTAATATAATCGAGTCGGGTGATTTTGGTATCAGGAATAATTAAAACATAAGTTATTGTAAGATTAAAGCTCGTTCGGGCTCGGCTGAATTTCTTTATCGAACAAAACTTATATACAACTGTGAAAGCTTGATAAACATTCAAACCATATGTTCGGTTCGACCCGATTCGTTTACACCCCTGTTTATATACCATACGTCGAATTACTATAGTCAACCTCAACACCCCCAAAACATAAGAATTATTCCTCAAACTAACAGGCAGAGAATAATCACAAACACTGATTACTCCAAAATAAACAAAACCCGTAAATTAATCTATTAAAAAACAAGAAAATCCGGACAAGTCCTTAATTGCGATTAGCAAACGAACAAATCGATTAAGCTGTTAACATAGCAGCATCAAATATTATCTCTCTCGTCCATCAGAAACCTGCAATAAAAAGATACAAATTAAGAAGAATACCGTAATGAAAACCAATTCAGATAAAAGAGACTTCTTTTAGCAGAAAAATATGTTAAAATCACCTTTACTCGAAACACGTAGAATTGCTTCTAAAGGTTGGCATGAAAGCCGAAGAATCAGTCCAAAATCTCGATCCAAATTTCCTGATACAGTGGTACAACATTATTCGAATAGCAGTAAGCACAATTTAGTTTCCCTTTGTGAATTATACATACTTTGTCTCATCAAAGACTTGCACCGAAATTCATCCCTCAAGTTTGCACCGATTTCACATTTGGTCCCCATGTTCACAAAAAACACATTTGGTCCATAATGTCTCAAAAATTGAACACTTTTAGTCATTTCCGTTAAAACTAACGGAATCAAGCATACTTGAAGGATCAAAAGCATGCTTTTAGTGTCCATCACTGCCTTAACTAACGGACAAACAGTAAATTGACGGAAATGATCAAAAGTGTTAAAATCATTGGAACATGAGGGACTAAATGTGAAATCGGTGCAAACTTGAAGGATGAAAACTGTAATTTCCCCATACTTATATTTATCTTTTCCTTTTCAAGTTCATGATTTTTCTACCCGAAGGACAATATGGTCTTCCAAGAAAACTCTATATCATCGCAGTTGTTCTTGTTCCATATAAAAAAGCCATGCGCAGAAAAGTTCTAGCGAACAATTTGAATTATCGAATTTACGATCAAACTATTTACACTAGGAACTCACCTTCTCTTTCCCTTTCGACATACGAGAAGACTTTGTTCCATGATCAGTCAATCTGCTTGTGCATAATATAGTACACTTTAAGCTTTAGCATCACTAAATTAAACACGATTGCGACACACATACTTTTGGGGCAAAGCAATAACCCAAGAAATCAGAATAAATGAGGGTTAAGATACAAAAAGCACAACCGAAGTGGCAACTAAATACTACCATAGGTATATTGGGTAAATTACGACGACCCCTGAGGTATAATTAAATTACAAAAACACCCTCATGTTTGAAAAATTACAATTACACCCCTCAACTATGAATCTTCTTACACGTCCACCCTTACATTGTCAAATTTAGTGGAATCTTCTAGATTGTGTGGATATTCTCCAGTTTGTACCCGTTTTATCCCATTTGAGCTCCACATTTTGAAACAAGATGGTCATATGATGTGTCTCTTGGCTTGTAAATATTGGATTGTGGTGCATCATAAACAACATTTTTGCACAAAACGAGTACAAACTAGAGAATATTTTGCGGAATCTAGAAGATTATGTTGAATTTGACACCATAAGGGTGGACGTGTAAGAAGTAAAATAGTTGAGGGGTGGTTGTAATTACCCAAACATGAGGGGTTTTTTCGTAATTTGACCATACCTCCGGGGGTGACCGTAATTTACCCTAGGGATATTAGATTAACAAGTACAACAAAAACTAGAACATTAAAGAAACGGGGTTACCAGAATAAGAGAATTATTTTTTCTATCATCCCAAAGTCGATTACGATATAAATTAAATGATGAAGAACTAAACATGTGATTAAGGGCGTTAAGATAATAAACAGTACAAGATTGTGTACACGAAATAATAAAGCCCAAAGAGAAGCTCACATCTCTGCTGAGGAACCTGGATTTGCATCAATCTTCTGATCCTATTAAATACGGAAACACAAATAGACGCGTTAAATATTTCAACCAATTCTAAAAATTATAAAAATATTGATAATAATGCAACTCCGACATGAGTGGACAAACCGTCGTCACCTATCAGCAGCCAGCATTCCTTACTAAGGTCTAATTTTTCATGGTCACCGTCATCGTAGTCAACCTAAATGATGTAATGGTACAGTAACAATAAGAATTTGACGAACTCATTCACAACGCACGTGCAATCCGAAAATGTAAAATATACATTATTCAAATTAAAGATCCAGTTATTGCACGTAATAAAGGGCAATTGTATTTGTGAATACGAAGAATGATCCATCAAACAAAGTTGTTATAGCTAACAAACTTCATATATATATAGAAGTTTGAAATTTTACCTGGTGTGTTTTATTCGAATTGTCGAAAGATGTAATTTTCCCTTCGTAAAATCTACAAAAGGAGACAGATTCGGGAATAAAGAGATTGCAATAAAAAGGCAAACGGACACAAAAAAAAAAAAAAAAAGTGATGTCAGTGTGGTATCAGTTAGTTCCTTGCATCAGATGGTTATAATCGGGAATACTTACATCTGATCCAGTGGCCACAAAACCTTTATCCTGCGGCCAACCACCTCTTCACCAACACAATTGCTCGCGCCCTTTACCTCGGAACCCTAAATAATAACAGTTAAGCTTAATATGATTTTATAGATACACAAATGACGTATGGATACACATAAAATATATGCACAAACATGCATGTTATTAGTGCGTGGGAATTATCCAAAACGTGACCCACAATATTTGACACATTAAAGATTATTAGAACTTATTCTGATAATCACAGCCCCGGAGCATTATTCTGCATGGCGGATTTCATTTATTTGAACTTCCCTTTATAGATGCCAAAAACATAATTCCTTTTGACACGTTGAAATATCGAAACATAACCCATATTTGAAAAACAAAAAAGGAAATCAAAGAACTAAGAACGTAATTCCCTTTATAGCGGAACTACGTATTCTCTCTTGGCATTTCCGAAATTACTTTCCCTCAAATTCAGTGCGCTGGCAGTGTCAATTTGTACCGAGAACAGTTTAAACTTACCATGACATTGTAGAAGGTTTAGCAATGTATGCTTGCACGTAATCTTGTTTGCGCACTTTATTTCCGGAGGTTGCCAATACTAAAAGATTTGGTTTGAATTTATGGGAATGGCAAAAATAATTTGCAACCTTTCAGTTAAATTCAGGGGCGAGTCCAGCTAGGGTGGACTCGATCCCTCCCTCAATTAAAAATTCTTCTAGCTTATTTTACATATATATTATTATTTAGCCAACCCAATTTTTATTTAGCTCATCCAAAACTCGATTACACAAAAAAAAAAAAAAAAAAAAAAAAAAAAAAAAAAAAAAAACCCTAATTTTTTTCTCTTCCTAATTTATCAAAAAAAAAAAAAAAAAGGTCCAATTTGGCAAGTTAACGCAGTAAAAAGGTTACCAAAGGTAAAAGTATGAGGGTGTTTGGCTAAGCGGGAGTGGCGTGCCGTCTCGGAGCAATCGGTTCGAAACTCCGGCGGCGAGGTGGAATATCTAATTACATTGTCTATGTTAATAAAATATTATTATTTAATTACATTTATGTCGATAAAAATTGACATTTAACAAGGTTGATTTAGCGAAATATCTACAACATTAACAATTACAAAGGTAAGACGGATAACAAGGCCAGACCTTGTCGTCGGACGTGGTACTCTTCTTCGTATTTTGAAAGTTAGAAACTTCCCCTGATAAGGCTTCCCCTTTCGATAATGTAGGTGTGGATTGAGAAGGCAATCTCTGCATTATGCAAGAGAGTTATCTAACAGTTAACGACTAAAAGTCGATAGAAGTCGCCATCTGGCGTTCAATTAATGGCAAAAGATCTACACAATTCACTTATTACCTTGTTCAGGGTGGCATCGATTAGGTCTTCAGAAAGAATACTCTTTCTCTTGCCTTTCTTTGCGGGAGCTTCCCTTGTCAGAGACCCTTTCAACATCCACAAAGGATCGTAGCCCTCCTCTGGTTTAAGTAAGGAGTTCGGTTTCCGACTCCTTTTTTTCCGAATAAGAACATCATCACTTACGGTTAAGCCAGGTGGGGTTACTGCTAAACCACCTTCCTCCTGACACGTGGCATTTACTCCTATATGTTCAACGTCCTGGAAAATAAACAAAAACACTGAAGTCAATATAATTGGAAGCAACAATATTAACTCATCACATTGGCTGTCTCGAAACAAATTAAGTCATTCGGGATAAATCACTTCCGGAAAGTTCACTCTCGATACATAAGACATTGTTACTTCTGAAATCCATTTCCAAAACTTAATGGATTTATAGTTCCTTTAAAGTGTATTTCACCAAACATGTCGTAATATAATCACCGAACTTAATAAAGAAAACTTAATAAGAAGTACAATTGAAAAAATGGACTTTTATTCTAGAAGCTCATGCAAACATGCTCTAAATTTCTGACGAGTTCAATTAAAGTAACTCAACGAAAGGCTTAGTAGGAAAAAATAAATATCTTAGACATAAAACTGATACGCGCGTTAGATTGGAGAAATGTACTTTAGTTATTTCCTCTCCCTTAAACATTAGCATTTAATGTGTCGTATATAATCCTAATTCTGGTGATCGAATCTTATATCAAATATGCATTAAAAAAACACCAAAGATTTTAACGTTACGTGGTTCAAGCCAAGGTAGAAAGATATATAAAGTAATTGAACAAATGGATTAAATTGATTCGAGAGGAATGGATTTAAAATGACTCAAACAGAAGGATTTGAAATTCGACGTCACGACTCAAAAAATAACTTAAAATGAGAACTAAGGGTTTTAAAATCCATTGTCAAATAAATCAATCCAAACAAACGCATGAATTTGTTATTTTAAGTTTTTAAAACTCGTTTGCTCAAACCCTTCCATCCAAATGCAACTTCAAAGTTATACCAAACACAACCGTAGCAACAAATACATTATCTCCAACCTAACCAAAACACGTAATGCATCTTCTTATTCTAGCTTTATTTTTTTTGCTTTTTTTGAAAAACACACCATGGTTTTTTCCCCTTGAGTTGCACCCTGTAATAACGATGCAACTACTTCAGCATAATCCTCGATGGGAATTCCCAAACTTTTTGCAGCTTTAGGAAGATGCTCCTTGAGTGCACTGGAGCAATTCTTAAATGTGCCCTCCGCCAGCTGGAATGAAGCTGGTGTAACATTCTGAAGTAGAAAAAAAAATGCTTTAATAAGACCAAAAAACAGTGTGATACGGCACGAACGATATATATAGAACAAAAAACACTGAAAAAAATAGGAGAAGTTACTTGATCTTCCTTCTTTAACCTAGCAAGAAGGATTTTTGCAAGTTTCACAGAAAATTCATCATTGTCATCATTGGCAAGAACGATCCCCGCCATGATATTCACCATGTTTGAGAATATAGCCGGATGGTGGCTGCTTCTAAAGTTGGCAAGAATAAAATTGAAACACGTGAATTAATTTCACAATGTGTTTTTAACTTTTCTTAACTTTTAAACTAAATCTTAGTTAGTGGGCTTAGTAGGGTTAAGTAGTGCTTAGTGGATTTAATTATGGGATTTATCTTAACTTCCTAACTAACCCACTAACCCATTATCTTGAGTGCTCTTGTGGTTGGTTTTCTTGCAGATCATGGGCTGAAGAGTGGAAGCTTGGCAAGTCTATAAATACCAAACTCAAGACTCAAGATTATTACAGATTTCGAGAAAACAAAATAGAGAGCTGAAGTTTTAATCTCGAGAATTTTAGTGTGTTTTCTAGGATCTGTTGTACGTACTATTTATAAGTACATTCTTTGAAATCTAGAATTTTTGATATCTTTCTTTTAGTATCTAGATTTGGTTGTAAGAGTGATCTTGAAAAAGATTCACTCATAAGGAAGAAGTTTTCGCACTCTTCTGTTTGTATTCTTGGAATACTGATTTTAATATATTTTCCGTCCTGTAAAGGGCAAGTTCACAAGTCTTTACTTGTGAACATTTTTAATTCTGAGTATTGTTCTTTTGTCTTTATATTTCCGCTGCTTGTTTGTTCAAGTGTCATAACACCTTCAACAACACCTCTGTATTAAACGAATTCGGGACCATAAATTCTTTCAATTGGCATCAAGAGCCAACACTTGACGTATACTAAGTGTTTGTTCCTATTTTTCTTACAGAAACGAATTCGTGATGGATACTCAGATGACTGCTTCTATGCGACCTCCTGTACTTGATGGCACGAACTACACCTACTGGAAAGTCAAGATGAGGGCGTACATCAAAGCCATTGATGAGAGAGCATGGAGATCTATTCTCACTGGATGGAAGCCACCAACTATCACAGATGTGGACGGAGATGTTTTTCCAACTCCAGAATTACGGTGGACACCAGACGATCTATCAAATGCTAATCAAAACTCAAAGGCGTTAAATGCAATTTTCAATTCAGTAGATTTAACAATGTTTAAATTAATCTCTGTATGCACTTCTGCAAAGGATGCTTGGGAAATTCTTCAGCTACATTGTGAGGGATCAGATAGTGTCAAAAGAACCAAGCTCAGATTACTCTCTTCCAAATTTGAGAGACTGAGAATGGAGGAAACTGAAACAATTTCTCAGTACAATGAGAAGCTGATTGACTTGGCTAATGAATTTCAATCCTTAGGTGGTCCTTTGAGCAACGAGACACTAGTGAATAAGGTATTGAGAACTCCTCTAGAAAGGTTCAGCATGACGGTTACTGCTATTGAGGAGGCTAAAGATACATCATCTCTACGGCTGGACGAATTAATAGGAAGTCTCAAGTCCAGAGAGATGAACTTCGAAGATCAAAGAAAGGAGAAAGGAAAGGCTATCTCAAATGCACTCCAGGCAGAATTAGAGAAGGAAGATGTTGCTCCGGAATATGATGATGATGCAGAAGAATGCCTCAATAATGTGGCATTTCAGATTCAGAAATTCAATAGGGCGTTCAGACGAAGTGGAATCAAGCCCAGGCAGTTATTCTCAGAAGGGTCTCCACAAAATCGACAAACTCAGCCCCGGAACAGATCTATTCCACAGAGAACATTTCCTCAAACACCTTCTCAAAACAATTTAAAAAATTCTTCTTTTATTCGTTCAAATTCTGAACCACCTAACTTGGATCATATTAAATGCAGGGCCTGTTCAGGATTTGGACATTATGCTAATGAATGTGCAAATACCTTGAGAAGGAGAGGAATGAGTTTGATTTGTGCTGTCAGTGATGAGGAGGAAGAACAACCTGAACAGACAGAGGAACAGCAATCCTCTAAACAAGCTTTTTCTGTCAGATATCTTACTGGAAGTTCCACTGAAACAGAATCCCAAAGAGTCTCCCTGGATGCTGCAACACTTTCTGAAACACTTTCAATTTGTGAGTTAAATACTGATCAATATACATGTTTAAACTCTATTTCTGTGAATGCAGCAGAATCCAGTAATGAAGCAGTCAGTGATGATGAAGAAATGTATAAAAAGCTGATCTGAAACTTGGAGAATAAGACTCAAGCTCTAGATGCAGCCAACAAAGAAAATTCCTCCCTCAAAGAAACAATCACACATTTGGAGGTTGGAATCACCAAGAAGGATCTTGAACTGGCAAAAGTGAAAGAAGAACTCAAAAAGGCAACTCTAGCAATCAAGAGGATGAACACTGGCACAACTAAGCTCGAAGAGATTGTGTCAATGGAGAAGCACTACAAACATGAAGGGCTAGGGTTCAAAAAACAAATGAAGCCAGTTAAGAAGAAAGAAATTGTCTTTGTAAAAGAGAAGGGTGCAAACAGAAAGGATTGCAGGAAGTCCACAGTCACCACTCCAGATTCCAGAATAAGAGGTTATGTTTGTCATTACTGTTTCTCACCAGGACACATTCGTCCATTTTGTGAAAAACTCAGCAGTGACAAAATGTTGTATAAAATAAGCCACAACACTTCAAGGAACATTTCAAAGAAAAAGGTAGAATCTACCAAAAAGGAGTGTAAAATATGGACTCCCAAAGGTAAATTTTTGTGCAAAGCAGTGTACACCTCTTTAAATGCTAACATTTCAGGTTCATGGTACTTTGATAGTGGATGCTCCAGGCACATGACTGGAACAAAGGAATTTCTATCAAACTACCACACACTTAATGGAGGACGTGTAACCTATGGAGGAGGAGCTAAAGGCAAAGTGGTTGGACGTGGAACACTCAGTATTGAGGGGCTTCCAAAACTCTCAAATGTTTTACATGTTGAAGGATTGGGGTCAAATCTCATTAGTATCAGTCAATTGTGTGATGATGATCTACGTGTAGAATTTGATAAATACTGTTGTTCTGTGTTTGATAATCAAAATCATTGTGTACTTACAGGTTCCAGATCAATGGATAATTGCTATCAAACAGGTGACACCATCTCATGCAAGAGTTCAAGAGTAAGTGAAGTAGAGCTGTGGCACCAGAAACTAGGACATACAAACTTCAAGAATCTGAAGCTTCTCAACAAGTACAATGCCATAAGAGGAGTACCAGATCTCAAGATCAAGGATATTCCTATATGTGGAATGTGCCAGAAGGGAAAGCAAACCAGAGTACCACACAAAGTGTTGCAACACGTTGGTACCACTATTTGTTTTGAACTTGTACATATGGATCTTATGGGTCCTATAGAGGTAGAAAGTCTAGGTGGTAAAAAATATGTCTTTGTATGTGTTGATGATTTTTCAAGATATACTTGGGTGTATTTTTTGAGAGAAAAATCAGACACCTTTGAAGTTTTCAAAAATTTGTACAGGTTTGTTAGAACTCAATTTCAAGTTTCTGTTCGTAGGATAAGATCTGATCATGGAAAAGAATTTGAGAATGCTTTATTTTTTGCTTTTTGTAATAAAAAGGGAATAAAGCATGAATTTTCTGCTCCAAAAACTCCTCAGCAAAATGGCATTGCTGAAAGGAAAAACAGAACTATTCAGGAAATGGCTAGGGTGATGATGAGTGCAAAAAATTTGTCTAAAAGGTTTTGGGCTGAGGCTGTCAACACAGCCTGTCACATCTCAAACCGTGTGTATCTAAGATTAGGATCTATGATGACTTCATATGAAATTCTTTATGGTAAGAAACCTAATCTAGAATACATGCATGTGTTTGGGTGTGTCTGCTATGTTCTAAATGATAGAGATCATCTAGCTAAATTTGATTCAAAAAGTGATTTGAGCTTGTTTATGGGATACTCTAATAACAGTCATGCTTATAGAGTATACAATCTAAGAACTCGAACCATTATTGAATCTGTAAATGTGGTATTTGATGACTTTGCTGATCTCCGCAGTAAAACAGCTGAAGATGAAGTTGATGACTTGATTGCTGAAAGGGAAACAACAGAAGAAGACACTTCTGCCACAGAAAGCCCAGACACAAACAGTCCAGTCTCAAGAGAAGAAGGTGCTGAGCCAAGTGTCACCACATCTGACTCAACACATCCTACAGAGACTGAGTTGCAACCAACCCTAGATGTCTGCAGAAAGGAACCATCAAGCAGAATCCAGAAAAATCACCCATCAACTCAAGTAGTGGGTGATATCTTTGGTGGAATAAGAACCAGAAGAAAAGAGAGAGTGAACTACAGAGATATGGTAAGATTTGCTAATTTATCTTCTGAATGTGCACTAACTGGAACCACTTGTTTTGTGTCTTCAGTGGAACCCAGGAATATTGCAGAAGCTCTGAAGGATGAATTCTGGGTAAATGCAATGCATGAAGAGTTGAATCAATTCATCAGAAATGATGTGTGGTACTTAGTTCCCAGACCAAGCCATGTACATGTGATAGGGACTAAGTGGATCTTCAAAAACAAAACTGATGAAAAAGGTACAGTTGTTAGAAATAAGGCTAGGTTAGTAGCACAAGGATACACTCAAATTGAGGGTATAGACTTTGATGAGACTTTTGCTCCAGTAGCTAGAATTGAATCAATTAGATTACTTCTTGCTATAGCCTGCTTTCTTAAAATCAAACTGTATCAGATGGATATCAAAAGTGCATTTCTGAATGGGGTTTTAAATGAGGAAGCATATGTTGAACAGCCAAAGGGTTTGAAGATTCTGCCAAGCCTAATCATGTTTTCAAGCTTAAGAAGGCACTGTATGGTCTA